TCTGAACATTGATATGGTTTCTCTCCAGTATGAGTTCTCATATGACTTACTAAAAGTGATTTTCGATTAAAGTCCTTCAGACATTCTGGACACTGATATGGTTTCTCTCCAGTATGAGTTCTTATGTGTCTTACTAAATCACTTTTACTAGGAAAGTGTTTCAGACAATGTGCACACTGATATGGTTTCTCTCCTGTATGAGTTCTCATGTGACGAACTAAATTTGATTTATCAGAAAAGTCTCTTTGACATTCTGAACACTGGTATGGTTTCTCTCCAGTATGCATTCTCATGTGTCTTACTAAATCCTTTTCATGATTAAAATCTTTTAGACATTCTGACCACCGATATAGTTCCTTTCCAGAATGAATTATCATATGACTTACTAAATGTGATTTTTGATTGAAGTCCTTCAGACATTCTGAACACTGATATGGTTTCTCTCCAGTATGAGTTCTCATGTGTGTTACTAAATCCCTTTTAAGAGAAAAGTCTTTTAAACATCCTGAACACTGATATGGTTTCTCTTCAGTATGAGTTCTCATACTTTGAACTAAATTCTTTTTTTGAGAAATCTCTTTTAGACACACTGAAAACCAAATTTTTATTTTGCCCATCATAAATCTTGTCAGAGATACACAGTGAGGTAGTTGTAAGGAAGATTGTTTTAGCAAGTGTGAATGTTGATATAATGTGCCTCCTTTGTTAACCCTTTCACTGTCGAGACCCCTGCTCACAAACTTGCTCTCAGTGTTGAAAAATTAAAAAAAAAATTATTTTCTCTTATGAAGTGATAAAGAATATTTTCACAATGGAAATGACACCAAAAGTATGAAATTTGATGGAAAACTTACAGAATTATGCTCCTGTGAAGTTAGCAGTCTCGGCGATATTTATGCATTGGCGATTTTGCCAACTTTGAGACCTGTTTTCATCTAATTCCATTGTTCCTGTTGACCAAACTCATAGTTTTTTGCTAGAACTCCATTTGTTCTATTGACTAAGTACAAGAAACCGCCCATTTACCGATTTCAATTACCCAATAAAGTGGTCAGAAATTGGCAGTCTGGCCAATTTCTCACAAATTTCAAAAGATACCAGTTTCAAAATACGGTCCAGAATAAACAATACAGACATTAATTTTTTATTCATACAAAAAATAGATTTATTATTATGCAGACTACTGCATTATTGCAATAATTGTATAATTAATGCCAACCGATTCATGATTGCACATTATACTGGCCACTTGGACACATACTGTATGGTGACGTCATTTGTTTACTCTTGAATATCAGCAAAAATCGAACATTTTCACTACATTGAGCTCAATTTCAAGGTACTTTTCATCATGAAACCAATCAAAATCATCTCTATTTCTGTAACATATCTTCCATTCTATCAAATGCAACCAAGAAAACGAGAATATAACCATCAATGCCACATGAAAATCCACCTCAAAGTCAGCGTTTTAAACCAAAAACATGGTCAGAGTTTTTTTCTCACGCACTGCGTCCTGAAGGATCTCTTTTATACTGCACACATAACCATGCAGACCCATTCTCTCACATGTAGGTCTACTAGCTTTCTCCAGTTAGATTTGAAGCTGCTAGAATTCTGGAGTATTAGTACATCATTAACCTTGGCTGGTAAGCTGTACCAATACATCACCATTAGTGAAAGGGTTAACAATTGTACACTGTGATGCTTCAACACATTGTTTTTACTGTGAATGTTAATTTAGTGTGTCTTACATAAACTGTACATTGTGTTGCTTCAACACATTTGTTTTCATGTGAATGTTGATTTAGTTGAGTCTCCTCTTCATGGAACAACTGTACATTAGTGTCTGATCAACACATTGTTTTTTTAAAGTAATTTAGAGTCGTTAAATGATATATTCTTTACATTAATTAAATTACTTAAGGAGAATTTTTTCGATTACACTGAAAAAAATTTTGTATTATTTTATTATAAATATAAACAAGCACTAACTGTGAAAGTTGGAAAGTAATACAGTGTACGAGGAATTTGAAGGAAGAACTAAGAGGATTTACTTCGGGGTTTAGACACATGAACCTTTATGGCACTGTTGTTGGCACTGTAAATGTTATATTACCCAAAACTGTTGTTACACTGTGTTGTGACTATTTACATTATAATTATTGGTGTCACTATTATAAACATTGTTGTGTTCATTTTTTATAATTAATACTGGTGTTGTTACTGTTTTAACACTGTAATGTCATGAATTAGTATGTAGTGTTGTCCTGTAATTTATCATAAAGTGTTGTTCACTGAGTTAATATCATTGTAGTTGTGTTGTTCACTTATTATTAACAACGTAGGCAATATTGTCATTATAATCAAATGTTAATTTGTGTTGTCACTGTAGATATCACTATAGTTATTGTCACCATTATTAACAATGTTAGATTAGTGTTTGCCTAATATTACCATCATTGTATTTAGAATGCTGTTGGCTTTTATTAATTACAGAATTACTGTCGCTGTTGACACTGATATTGGCACTACAAGCTGCCATCATGACCTGCATTACTGATACTGCAAGTGTCAGGCAGATCTGCAGTATGATACTACATGTGCCAACCTCGTGACCAAGTTAACATGTTAATTACTGACACTACAGTTACTGTTTCTTGCTTTCTTCTTCCACTAATATCCTAAAGTAAGGAACAGATGTCCTGCAAGTGCTGAGACTTCTATTACCAGTTTCTTGTACCAGGATGATTGCAGTTACTGATACTCACATACCAGCCTCGTGTACCGGATGAATCTGCATCTTCAAACTATACGTGACTGTTCTTGTACCAGGATGGAATGCAATATGACACTACAATATCCATTTTTTGGATCAGGCTCACACTGAAAAAAAAACATTATATAATTTTTTTTAACCAACCATTTTCCACCAGGCAAGGTGATGATCCTACAGAGGTGTGCCCTTCACTACAGGTTAAGAATTGCCAAAACATATCAATTCCAATCCTTCAGAGCACAGGCATTGTACACCTCCATCTCCAGGGACTCAAGTCAGTCTGGCGGTTATTCCCTAAATCCATTTCATAAATGTTACCTTGCTCCACATTCCAGAAAACATTTCAAGTATAAAAAACATTTGCCTCTACTTGCTCCTAACATGCTCATGCGTGGCTTGCTGAATGTGCAAACCCCTCAGCACAAAACCTCCTTTACCCTCACTTAACCTTTCCTAGGCCAAACCCTTACCCCACTTTCTTTATTTACAGATTTATACCATTCTCGAAGTTTCATTCTTATTTCATTTTATTTCTCTCTCAATGTCCCGAACCTCCTCTCCAATAAACCCACTTTTAGATACTTTGCACCTCCGCTAATTTCTAACACTACAAATTCTCTAAATTATATTACACACTGCACACTGCCCTCATGACACATATCACGCCTCAGTATTCTCAATGTTGTGACATTCACCACCCGTACTTCACACCAATAGAGCGTTGGTATATCTATACTTCATGAATTCCACTTGAAATCCATGAGCTTATGTTCTTTGTCTCCACAGAACTAGTCAGTGCACCAATCACCTTTGTTTCCCCTCATCAGTTCAATGATTAACTCATCTTTTATAGACCAATCTACTGACTAGACCACTACCAAATACAGTCGGACCCCGGTTGTTAACGAACTTTTTTTCTTCCAGTAGTATGTTCAGGTTGCCAGTACTGAACCGTATTTTTTCCCATAAGGATATTGTGAAGTAGATTAGTCCATTCAGACCCCCAAACATACACGTACAAAATACGCACTCACCTACATAAAAACACTTACATTTATAATTGGTCGCTCTTTGAGGTGATCGTTAAGCGGGGGTTCCATGTATCTGAATACTTTCGCTACTTCCTTCAATCTGATATCTAATCTTTCATTAGCTAATTTTTTATCCTCAACACCTTTACTCTTTTGCTTGTTCACTTTCAATTCCTTTCCTTTTACATACCTTCCAATTTCATCTACCAACTCTGCAGTTTCAATTCTGAATCTAACAAAAGCACAGTGTCATCAGGCAAAATAAGCATCTGTGTGTACTCCCACTTTGTTTGTTTACAAGTTGACCATCATCTAGCCATTTCAGAGTCGAGAGGCACTTCTCCCAAATTCATTCTCAGGTTTTGAAAATTTTTGGAATAAAAAAAAAAAAAAAAAAAAAATTCTTATGAAAAGATAGTATGAATTTTGATGAAAAAACTTAGGGAATTAAGCTCTTGCAAAGTTTTCGGAAAAAAACAATATTTAGGATTGGTGATTTTGCCACTTTGAAGCCCTATTTTTGGCCCAATTTCCAATGTTTCAGTCTCTAAAAAATCATAGCTATTTCCACTAGAATTCCATTTGTTCTATCATTTGGTACAAGAAACCGCCATTTATGATTTTCAACTAACCATAAAGCGGTTCAGAATTGGCAATTTGCCAATTTCACACAAATTCAAAAGTGCAATTTCAAAATAGATCCAGAATAAGCAAAGACAGACTTTTACTGGCACTAAAATAACATTTTTATCTGTTCTATTAGTCACATCTATTGGGCCCCTCTTACATTACTTTTGCTTTCCCATTTTGAATTTTTAATTCTAACAAAAAAACATTTACTTGTATTGGTACTACATGCAATATTGTAAATATGGTTTAATAATATCAGTGCACTTGTGCAAGAGTCATTAGACTCACAAGTTGAATGTATTGGATGCATGGTGTGATTGTTTACTTTTCAACATAGGGCAATAAATCAAACATTATCGACTACTTTGCGCTCAATTTCAAGGTACGTGGGAACCCCCGCATAGCAAACGCCTTGCATAGAGAACAATCCGCATAGGCGAACGCTTTGTTGTGTTCGCTAAAAATTTGCCCCGCTAGTGCGACAAAAACCCGCTCAGTGACTTCGTCGAGACGCGTCCAATGTGCGGCCATCAGCAAGCTCATATGTGCCGCCCGTCCCATTGTTTACCAAGCCAGCCTCCGCATGGTAAAAATTCAAGCATACACTCGGAATTTTTCGTATTTTTACAGTGTTGTCGGTGTGTTTCTGGAAAAAATAAGTGACCATGGGCCCCAAGAAAGCTTCTAGTGCCATCCCTGTGGTAAAAATGGGTGAGAATTAGTATGGAAATTAAGAAAGATTTTGATGGGTTTGGGGGCTAACCATGAGGAGCCTATGCCAGATTGTGGAATCCATGTGCTAATTCAAAATTAAGGAAATGGTGCACAGTGGGTTGAAACTGCAACCTTTATGGATGAAAATCACCCATGACTAGCAGCTGTTGCAAGCCGTGCTGGTGACTATTTCAATGACAATGTTGTGGCCCATCCCATTTTAGACAAATCGTAAGGGAACGGGAGGTACAGAGCTCTATGGGACAGATATGTTGTGCAGGACAGAGGTCAAGTGACTCTCAAGCATTAAAAGTAGAAGGGAAAAGTAACCCCGGAAAGGACTTGCTAACCTCAAGTCCTAATGGAAGGGGGATTCCCCTTCTAAACACTACACTCTCTCTCCCCTCCTCCCATCCCATCAATCATCACCAGGCATCTTCATAAAAGTAAGTGTCATGTAATGTGACATGCCTTTCTCAGTTTGTGTGTACTTAAAATGTTCATTTTTTCGTTTGTGGTAAAAAAATTTTTTTTTTCATACTTTGGGTGTCTTGCACGGGTTAATTTTATTTCCATATTTCTTATGGGTAAATTAATTCGCCATAGCTCGAAACATTTCGCATAACGACCAGCCCGCTTGACGGAATAAGTTAAGCTTTGGGGGGTCATCTGTACTTGTCATCATGAAAACCTAATCAAGTGTAATCCTATTTCTGTAATATACTCCATTCTATCAAATGAAACCAAGAAAACGAAAATACAACCATAAACCCACCACAAAAATAGACTGCAAATTTGCTGTTTGAAACCAAAAATGCGATCTTTTTTGTTCCTAATTATGCACTGTGTTGCTGCAGAGAATTTTTTTCATACTGCCCACCAATGAACCTTGCAGGACCCATTCTTTCACATCTAGGCCTACCAGCCCTTTCCCCGCGTGATTTGAGGGTGCTTAGATTTACGTTAGTACTAGTAAAATGTGAATTGTACAGGGAAATGTTAAATGTAGTCATTGTTGTGATGTACTGTGTTGTTTTTCATGCTTAAGATTACAAAATGCAAACAGGAAATAATAGCATTTCTTACCTTAAATTGTGGGTGCTGGTGTTTGTGGATGATTGTGGAGAGTGGGAGAGTTATGCTGTGGACTTATGGGCTGAGGTTGGTTTTTAGAGGTTCCTGGTCATTGGTTGTACTCGAGCGAGCATAAATTCTATAAGGGATTTCTCTTCTATGTTACTCAGCAGTACATCATTATACAACTGACAAGTAAGGCATCAGCTGCTCTAACACTGTTTCTAAGGTCCTCCTTCAGTGAAAAAAGTCTAACTTAAAGTCAGTCAGTAAATCAGTCAGTAAGTCAGTCAGTCAAATCAGTAAGTCGTCGTCCAGTATGTTGTGGTCAGAGGTTATGTGTGGTCACTGTCTAAGCTGTCTGCATTTTCAGCATGGGGTGTTACCGGAGGCACCATGGCCTGCTGAAGTGTTTTGGAATCTCAGGGTAAAAGTGTTGAAGAAGGAAGGTTCTACTTCTTCAGTAGGAAAACAGGAGGCTGAATGTTTGCCTAGAAGGTTAGAGATGGTGGGAGCTAGGTGAGGAAGAGGTTACCAGCAGTGAGCTAAACTGTGGTAGCCGCTTCC